CTGCTGGAGCTTGTGGCCAGCAGGCATGCGGTGAGACGCAGCCAGGTGCCCTTCAGTCATTTTTGTCACCCTTCCCCGAGCCTTTCCTAGACCTAACGTGCCCTTTCAGAGGGACGGGCATCGGGGTCACAAGCCCAGTTCCCCCAGTACCTCCCAGAACATCACTGCAAGCATCGCAGCACAGACTTCTCGTGGCTCCTTTGCTGTCGCGGGGTCCCTCCGGAGGGAGGGAGCACAGGCAGCTCCCGGCATCGCCGTCACCCCGCGCCGAGGTTCCTGTTTGAAGGCAGATCAGCCCAGCGCCGCTCGCTTGCGCCTCACCTCGCGCCAGCGCGGCTGGGAGCAAAGGAACGGCAGACAAGGCCGCGCCGGAGCTGCTGCGGCTCCTCGGTCACAAACCGGTTTTCGAGCTGGAAGAGACCCTGGTCCCAGAGTTCTCCTAGGAAAACGCAGAAAGTTGTCTGATAAGAAAACCAGTCAAACTGTTCCAACCAAAGACCGTTTGCTGACCCCGAGAGCCACGGTCCCCAGCTCACCCACAAAGGTCTACTGTAACCCATTTCCCTTCTCCTACTAACTTCGGCTGCTCGTAGCAACACCAGATAGCCTTTTAAAGAAACGCTCCGGTCGTTTTTCCCATTCCTCTCCAGTTCTCGCCATGTCCCTGCCCAGCGGCACAGAAGCACGAAGCTCCTGGGGCCGCCCTGACCCTATGCAGCACCTTGCGGGTAACAGGAACTTCTACACATAAGCAAATTTCTCAGGTTTTGAGAGGCGAGGGATTTTTTTTTTTATTTTAAGCCGTGTTCTGCCGGCAGCAGAGGGCAGCCGCGGCCCGCCAGGGCCCCAGCCAGCACAGCGCTTGAGTAAGGAACCAAAGCGCTTGAGTAAGTAACCTGGGAAGAGAAGCTGCGTGGGAGGGTGGCAGTGGTTTTACAGTTATTTAAAATTCATGAACTTGCTCTTTTGAAATTCATTAGATCCTGAGAGTGCTGCACTGCCTCTAGCTTGTCTTTGAGCAGCTCTGGTTCCTCGCCGTGGCAGAGAGGCTGTAGCCAGGGCAGG